CAGAGATACGAAGTAACGAGAACTAAAATTGTTCAAGAAACAAAGGGTAGAACCTGGAACTGCTGAAGAATCCTAGGATGCTTGACTCGTGGCCATGACCAAGTCTACCAGACACTCCCATTCCCCAACTAAAGGCCTCCCCACCATCTAACAAAGATAGAAACAACAATTGAGAAGATACTATAAATATATAGTGTACAACCTACAGTCATGCTTGATATGAGGGAACTCAATAACAACAATTGAGAATATATTAAGCATATTTGTGTAGAATCTACAATCAGCATGCTAAGAGGAACTCAATAACAACAATTGAGAACGTATTTGCATATTTAGTAAAGAATATACAGTCAGCTTGCTAAGAGAAACTCAATAACAACAATTGAGAAAACATATATTTAGTATATTCATGATTGCTAAGCGGAACTCAATAATAACAATTGAAAAGATATGAATATCCAGTGTACAAATTACAGTCATGCTTGCTGAGCGGAACTCAATAACAACAATTGAGAAGATATTATGAATATTTGGTATATCTATTGCATACCACTAATTGCGACAGTGTGCTCTGAACCCAGAGCTGCCATTTTAATGTTGATTCCATCCAAGTATTCTACTTTAGTAGGCAAAGGAACTATGTTTGGAGCCCCTACATTTCAGGAAAACACAATTAGCTGTCATCCTTTTTTCTTTGAGCACCTTTAACAGCTCTAGAATATCAAGTTTTTAAAGTTAAACATAATAATATGAGAAGGTTCAGGAGAAAAAAACTCTTTAGGTCCATTAAATGCTAATACAGGTTTAGTTCTTACTTTTTCCAAGTCCAAGCTGCCCACTTGTGTTTTTTCCCCACATGTAAAGCTCTCCATCCACTACAAGAGAGAAAGGTGGACATGGAGCAAATTTAAAAATAGCAAGGTAAAGAATATGCAATAATTCAGAAGATAAAAGAACTTAAAGCTGTTAAATACTCATTTTGGAGGAAAAAATAAGCCATCCAATATCAAATACAAAACTTGTACGGTAAATTATTCATGTACAAAACTTGTACAAAAAAAAATATCAAATACAAGTTTTTAAAGGTGAACGCTACCATGCATAAGCACCGACCTGTGATCGCACAAGAATGATTATAACCAGCAGAGATCTGCACAATTTTCTTCTCCTCTCCAAAAACACGAAGTGGCTCCTGAGATATCCAAAAATGGAAAATGATGTCAAGTAAATTTTCCTGGTTCCTACTTATGTCCAGAGGACATGCATTCATCCAACAATCGAGAAAAAATACTACTGCAGCAGAGATAAGTTCAACAGACAAAAAAATATAGCTAAAAAAAGCAAAACAAACCATACCACTGAGTAGTGCTTACTCTCTGAGACACCAAGCTGCCCAAAATCATTAAGACCCGTTGCATATACACATCCATAGTCTGCGAAAGGAAGCAGTACTGTGAGCCCCTACACGGACATTACGAAGACTCTTCAATAGTCATCAGACTCATCACCAATTTTATACCCCGTCATATTGTATCATCCAATCCAATAGCACAGTGATGACTATTATTACTAATTTAAACCAGCAAGTAGGAAGTTAAAGACATTCCAATTCCCATGAACACAAGAAAAAATTCATGGCATCCCTACAAAATTCACACACGAACCCCAAACAATTGCACTTCACAATACCACACAAGACTAACCCTTCAGACGTCATAATATTGTTATAACAATCAAGAAGATAACGATTCAAAATTCTGCTTTCATTAATAATGCTCAATTTAATAGATAGAATAAACAAATAAATAAAAGGAATTGGACGAAAAAACAATTTGATAAAGAGGAATGAAAAGCGAACCTGTTAAGAAGAGAGTGTGAGCACCGCCACAAGCAATGGCTTTAAGGTTCTGGTTGCGGAAGGCGGTGGAAACGACGGGTTTCCATTGCGAATCCAAGTTGCCAAGACCCAATCTGCCATAATCGCCGTTCCCCCACAGCGCAGCGAACCTCTTTCCCGCCACGCGTGAGAAAGATCGCGTTAGAAACCCTAAACCGGAAGCTCTAATGGCGAATTTGGAGAAGCTTTGACGCCACATTTGTGGTGAGAGGAAACGGTGGTACGTGAAGAACGTTGTTGAAGTGAGAAAGAATCATGAAGCGATTAAATAAAGTTCAACAATTAAATCAATAGCGCATTGAAGAGAGAGAGCAAAGAAACATTTCATGGCTCACACTGCTGCAACGTCTCCTATGTTCTTCTGCTGATGGCGGTTAGTTATGGGTAGAAGAACCTTGTAGAGAGATACAAACGCTGATTTACCATTTGAACCCTCCTGGTAAATTAATTCTTTTTTAACTCTTACTTTATTTTTTTAAAATACTTGTAATTTTTTTTCTTTAAGAGTTTCACTTCATTATTTATTTTATAAAAATTTCATTACGCCCTTATTTTCTAAATTGTGGCAATTTATATTTTTAGAATATTCAACATAAGAATTTATATTATTTTTAACTAGTATAAAATTTGTCTAATTAGATTCATGAAAATTAAAATGTTAAACTATGATAAAACAAAGAAANTATATATATATATATATATATATATATATATATATATATGAACTGAACTTTAAGCTTAACTCAACCCCATAATTGATGTGTGTATATATATATATATATGAACTGAACTTTAAGCCTAACTCAACCCCATACAACCAGCTTGTAAAGTGAGGTTTGCACCCACTTATATTCTCTAAATTGGTCTTATCTCTAGTCGATATAAGACTTTAAACATAGCTACCTCACACTGATTATATACATTTCGTGTGTGGGACTAAACATTAATAGGTGATCCGATAATAGCATGATAATGAATGAAACAATATGGCCAACAAACAATAAATTTTACTAGGATAGACTCTAACAATGGCTCTGATACCATAATAAAAAGTGGACTTTAGGCTTAACTCAATGCCATAAAATTGGCTTGTAAGGTGAGATTTGCACCAATATATTCTAAATTGGTCTTATCTCTAATTGATATGAAACTTCCAACATATCTATCTATCTATCTCTCTCTATATATATAGGTCACAAAAACAGTAGGCACTTACGTTAAACCCTAATCGTAAAGCTAGTACATATAAAGGAGTAGTAATAATAATAATAATTAAATAACAATACATTTCAAAATGGTTAAAAGTTATCAGATCTTCCATTTTTATCTCATTAAAAGTAAAGTAGATGAAAATAAACAAATTGGCTTATGTATGTAACCACTTCAGTAAATTGAAGCAACAAAGTCAATGACAAAAACGATTAAGTACAAACCATTATTAAAAGAGAAAATTGCACCTCTTTTAGGTTCAATAGCTATAAATTCCGTATTAGCTTGGCTCAAGTTCTATATAAGCTAATTATTAGTCAGTTTTTGTAATCTACTTTTTAAAATGAATGTTTCTCAATTAATCATGTGTTTTTCCATTTTGCCGTATCTGTTTTCTCTTATTGTTTACTGTCAGCCAATCAATGTCCCAAATCTTACCCCCTACATATAGTATATATGGAGGAGGTCTGTTTTGACAACCCGTATATGGAGGAGGTCTATTTTGACAACCCATATATGGAGGAGGTCTGTTTTGACAACCCAAATTGCAGTCACTCAAACAAATTATTTAAGTTACCCGCCAACATATGCATCTATGTTGTCAATATTCTCAACAGCATTTTTATCAAAATGAACATGCAGCTTTCTTTATGCTTCTCAAAGCTTCTTGTTTAAGGGCATGTATGGGTGGAAATTGATTGGTCTGAATAAGGTTTTGCATAAACAGAGTAGTGATTGAATAGGTCAAAGCACTAGTTCAAGGTTCAATAGTTGTCAAACCAATATTAATAAAATTAATATAATAATTAAATAATATTAAAAAAAATTGAATTAAATATGTTTTAAGTCCCTAAACTTTGACACACGAAATTGAAATTTGTTCTTATTTCAAACTTTGATACATTTTTTATCCCTAAACTTTAAAAATAAATTGATATAGTCCTTTTAATCTAACTACATTAATTTTGATATAGTCCTTTTAATTTAACTACATTAATTTTTTTTACATTCCTGACTGTCAAACCACGTAAATAGCTCAAACACCAACCTTAAATGTGTTTGACCCATTAAAATATTTTAATGCAACGGATTACAAGAACTATTGTTAAATATTTTAGAACAAAGCTGGTTTAAATATTTTTAAATAAATTTTTAGAGGTGAATTATTTAATTTTTAAACGAAACTGGTTTAGGCAGGTTTTCTGTTTCTTTGATCGGCACTTCAGTAAGACAATTTCATGGTTTCTTTGAACTGATTCTTGGTCCAACCAGCTGGTCGGATACATTTTTCAAACTAGGGGGAAAAAATCAACGTAAAACAAATTATAAACTATGGAAACTAAAACCAGAACTAACCCTGGCACGATGAGACAGAAACAGAAAAATTAATGACAGTCCGGTTCCAAACTAGAGTAAGAGAAACCCAATGTAAAACAAATTACAAACTACGATATGATAGCCACTACTACTCAAGCCATGACACAAAATAGAAATAGGTAGAGGTTAGAGTTTATATAAGTAGAGCCTAACTTGTTAATAATGATGTAAGTCTTATTTTTGGGTCTAAACTGACCTTCATGATAACTTATTTAAAAGTTTATTTCATATTATGCTTAATTTATCTTTCAACAAGCCAAAGGCTAGAGTCTTTAGGTAGATCAACACGTTTAATATTAATCGAAGTAAATAAATATATGATTTAATACATTATAAAAGTTTAACAAAAAAATATTTACACAAACAGATTGGTTTGTTAGACCAATAGACTTCTCCAAATATCTAAAACTTGATCGTTCTAACCAAACATACTTTTGCAAACATATTGACCTAGTTCATTTCATAAAAAAGCCTAACTTGACCTGGACCTAATGCAGGCTAAGCCCCAAGTCTCTCGTGCGATCTATCCTATTTTCACCCGTAAGTGCAAGGTAATAAAAAGGGTGAGACAATGACTATCAATCTCCGACAGAAGAATGAAAATTAGATAACTTTATAGTAAATCCTAAAAGGGCGGGAAAATGTACACTCCATTAAAAAAAGGATGGAAAATAACACATGGCTTGTTATGTCTTAAAAGGGAAACGATAAGGAGGTGAAGTGTGAATTTTTTTACCACAAAGTGGCAAGTGTCTTTTAGCCAAATCACTTGAGATCAAATGCAATTTCCTAAACATAATATAAAAACTAGCAGAGATACGAAGTAACGAGAACTAAAATTGTTCAAGAAACAAAGGGTAGAACCTGGAACTGCTGAAGAATCCTAGGATGCTTGACTCGTGGCCATGACCAAGTCTACCAGACACTCCCATTCCCCAACTAAAGGCCTCCCCACCATCTAACAAAGATAGAAACAACAATTGAGAAGATACTATAAATATATAGTGTACAACCTACAGTCATGCTTGATATGAGGGAACTCAATAACAACAATTGAGAATATATTAAGCATATTTGTGTAGAATCTACAATCAGCATGCTAAGAGGAACTCAATAACAACAATTGAGAACGTATTTGCATATTTAGTAAAGAATATACAGTCAGCTTGCTAAGAGAAACTCAATAACAACAATTGAGAAAACATATATTTAGTATATTCATGATTGCTAAGCGGAACTCAATAATAACAATTGAAAAGATATGAATATCCAGTGTACAAATTACAGTCATGCTTGCTGAGCGGAACTCAATAACAACAATTGAGAAGATATTATGAATATTTGGTATATCTATTGCATACCACTAATTGCGACAGTGTGCTCTGAACCCAGAGCTGCCATTTTAATGTTGATTCCATCCAAGTATTCTACTTTAGTAGGCAAAGGAACTATGTTTGGAGCCCCTACATTTCAGGAAAACACAATTAGCTGTCATCCTTTTTTCTTTGAGCACCTTTAACAGCTCTAGAATATCAAGTTTTTAAAGTTAAACATAATAATATGAGAAGGTTCAGGAGAAAAAAACTCTTTAGGTCCATTAAATGCTAATACAGGTTTAGTTCTTACTTTTTCCAAGTCCAAGCTGCCCACTTGTGTTTTTTCCCCACATGTAAAGCTCTCCATCCACTACAAGAGAGAAAGGTGGACATGGAGCAAATTTAAAAATAGCAAGGTAAAGAATATGCAATAATTCAGAAGATAAAAGAACTTAAAGCTGTTAAATACTCATTTTGGAGGAAAAAATAAGCCATCCAATATCAAATACAAAACTTGTACGGTAAATTATTCATGTACAAAACTTGTACAAAAAAAAATATCAAATACAAGTTTTTAAAGGTGAACGCTACCATGCATAAGCACCGACCTGTGATCGCACAAGAATGATTATAACCAGCAGAGATCTGCACAATTTTCTTCTCCTCTCCAAAAACACGAAGTGGCTCCTGAGATATCCAAAAATGGAAAATGATGTCAAGTAAATTTTCCTGGTTCCTACTTATGTCCAGAGGACATGCATTCATCCAACAATCGAGAAAAAATACTACTGCAGCAGAGATAAGTTCAACAGACAAAAAAATATAGCTAAAAAAAGCAAAACAAACCATACCACTGAGTAGTGCTTACTCTCTGAGACACCAAGCTGCCCAAAATCATTAAGACCCGTTGCATATACACATCCATAGTCTGCGAAAGGAAGCAGTACTGTGAGCCCCTACACGGACATTACGAAGACTCTTCAATAGTCATCAGACTCATCACCAATTTTATACCCCGTCATATTGTATCATCCAATCCAATAGCACAGTGATGACTATTATTACTAATTTAAACCAGCAAGTAGGAAGTTAAAGACATTCCAATTCCCATGAACACAAGAAAAAATTCATGGCATCCCTACAAAATTCACACACGAACCCCAAACAATTGCACTTCACAATACCACACAAGACTAACCCTTCAGACGTCATAATATTGTTATAACAATCAAGAAGATAACGATTCAAAATTCTGCTTTCATTAATAATGCTCAATTTAATAGATAGAATAAACAAATAAATAAAAGGAATTGGACGAAAAAACAATTTGATAAAGAGGAATGAAAAGCGAACCTGTTAAGAAGAGAGTGTGAGCACCGCCACAAGCAATGGCTTTAAGGTTCTGGTTGCGGAAGGCGGTGGAAACGACGGGTTTCCATTGCGAATCCAAGTTGCCAAGACCCAATCTGCCATAATCGCCGTTCCCCCACAGCGCAGCGAACCTCTTTCCCGCCACGCGTGAGAAAGATCGCGTTAGAAACCCTAAACCGGAAGCTCTAATGGCGAATTTGGAGAAGCTTTGACGCCACATTTGTGGTGAGAGGAAACGGTGGTACGTGAAGAACGTTGTTGAAGTGAGAAAGAATCATGAAGCGATTAAATAAAGTTCAACAATTAAATCAATAGCGCATTGAAGAGAGAGAGCAAAGAAACATTTCATGGCTCACACTGCTGCAACGTCTCCTATGTTCTTCTGCTGATGGCGGTTAGTTATGGGTAGAAGAACCTTGTAGAGAGATACAAACGCTGATTTACCATTTGAACCCTCCTGGTAAATTAATTCTTTTTTAACTCTTACTTTATTTTTTTAAAATACTTGTAATTTTTTTTCTTTAAGAGTTTCACTTCATTATTTATTTTATAAAAATTTCATTACGCCCTTATTTTCTAAATTGTGGCAATTTATATTTTTAGAATATTCAACATAAGAATTTATATTATTTTTAACTAGTATAAAATTTGTCTAATTAGATTCATGAAAATTAAAATGTTAAACTATGATAAAACAAAGAAAGTTACAATTTTTTAACATATTATTACAACGTAATTTTCTTAATTTTTTCTCCACCTTACTATACTTTATTGTCCATAAAAATTAATGTTTGTACATCTTTCAAGTAATTCAAAAATAATTTTATGATATAATTAATTATTATATATTGTTAAATAATAATATACTATATGCATATTTACAAAAAAATATTACATTACATTTCATCCTAATAATAAGTTACTTCTATATAATTTCAATATCCATGTATCTATACATACATGCATTTTAGATTATTTTGATAAAAAAAATATAAATAAAATGTGACAAAACCAAGATTTTTATTTAAAAAATTCAATAGGATATGAGAAATGAAATTTTCTTCATTAAAATTCAGATTATTTTGTTATAAATTTTGGAATGAGCAGTTATTACAAAAATTGGAGCCAAAGAATTTTTATATGTTTCTATGTTTTTATATGTTTCGATGCCTCCTTGGATCCCTCACAAAAATGGAAAAATTGTTATTTTTAAACATATAAAAATATTCATTATCACAAAAACGACCACAATGGTAACATCACAGTTAACTACTTCAATTTGATAATAATATTTTTCTTTTGTCTTTTTTCTATAAATTTAAAATCATTAATATATGTCAACACTCAATTTTGTCCGGGTTGTAAAAAATGTGTTTTTATTGTTTTTTTTATTATTTTCCTTTTATTTTATTTTACCTTTTTTT